AGAAACCTCATATGTTTGGCATTCATCATACATTAAGTGAAGTGAAACAAAAATTATAAGTGAAGTCAAAACTTATAAGTGGTAAGTGAAACAAATTATTCCAAAGTAGTTTTCAGAAAATGAATAAAACATAGCTGTTCCTCATCAGTATGGAAAGGATAACAAGACAATTTCTAACCATTAGAGGGTCCATACATCCACTGCCAGACAGATAGTCTACAAATGGAAAATATTCACTATATTCTTTGAATATATGCTAGTCAAAAGTTGAACTTTTTTGCTACAATGAGAAACGTGGTAAAAACTACACACTGTCTTCCAGAAACAAAAGTCTTATCCTGACCGGTGGATAGAGTATCATGGTTTGGGGCTGCTTTGTTGCCTCAGCAAACAGAAGGCTTTCTGATAAATTCAGCATTGTATCAGAAAATCATGGGGGAGTGTCAGGTCAAGCTGAGACAGAAGTGAATCTTAGAGCATGACAATAATCCTAAACATATAGTGGAATAGCTGAAGAAAAAAAAATGCATTCTGGATTGTCAAAAGTTAAGACCTAAACCCCTTTTGAAATATTATGGTAAGACCTGAAGCAAGGTGTTCAAGGAAGGAAACCCTTGAATGCCACCAGACTGAAGCAATCTAATCTACTGTAGCTGAGATATTTTCAGCTCAAGGAGGTGCCAACAGTTACTGAATCCAAAGGTTTGCATACTTATTTACATGAGAAAATTTATTATTGGGTCATTTTTTAAAATTAAGTAATCAAATATATCTTACGTATTTGTGTTTTACATTTAGGATTGGTGACAGATATATCAACCACAATATACGGATTTTGCACAACTAAAGCTTAAGGCTTTGAAAGGAGAAGAGAGTATCTGGTTCTTTTTATTCACTTAGTTGCAAGCGATTTATTGAATTAAAAAGATACTACAAAAGTGGCAGACATTTCATTTCAAGAATATATGTGTTGTAGTGTTGTTTTTCATTGTCATCTTACAAAAAGCATTAAAGAGACCACTTTATGCTAAACTAAATTAGGTTTTTGGAAGTTTATCAATTACATTTTGTTTTTAACCATTTTTAGAAAATGAAAATGACAATATACTAAAAACACTGTTTCCTGTGCTGAATTTTGGTTCTATGTGACACCACTGCTATCATGATCGTCATCCCTCCTCTAGAGGCACCTACCTTTTTCGTTGTGTTCCCCAGCCTTATTTTCCCCAGCTGTTTCCTATTCCCTTTTCCCTATTTAAGCCCGACGTCACCATAGATCTGGGCTCAGCTTTGGAAGACGGACGCCCGGTAGCCCGCCTATCACCGGGCACAGGAGTTCCCTGATGGCATAGGCTTTACCATGGCATCCTGACCTCTGAGTCTGGGGCTCGGAGCACCTTGCCTCATTATTATTTTAATCTTCCTTGCTCCTGGTTCCACATTCCCGTTCCCTGTTTCACTGTCTTTGTCTTGGATGGACCTCCCGGATTTGGATATTGGACTGTACCCCGGTTTCCCCTCTGAACTGTTTTGTGCCTTCCCTGATGTCCTTCTCCAGACTCTTCTGGATTATACCGTCTTGCATAGGGTCTTTGACAACCCATTTCATGGGAGTCAGAACTGGTTACTGTGTCACCTCCCACCATGCAGGTTATAAGTGCAGACTGGTCTGGTTTATTTTGTTGTCAGTAAAACAGCTTAATTTAACCTTACTCTATTCTAAATTTTCATAAGGAAGTAATTATACCTCAAACATCAATGGGAAATTCTAAAACACAGAGAGATGGCATTTGACAGAGGAGGTTTCAAATTGAAACCATATTATATAAGTGGTATACTTAAGTTTAAGCAACCAAAACATCTCTGTACAATGATGGTGTCATTTCAAAGTAGTCTGCAGCAGTTAAATGAAATTTGGATGTAAGATAAGATCTAAGATAATAATTCTCCAATATTTAAACCTAAAAAATAATCAAAAATTATAATATTTTTTTCTTAGATAGGTATAACATGATAAAATTCATTTTAACCTGTCCATTGTGGTGCAATGTAGGGAGTATCTGGTGTGGGGGGCAGAGCTCCGGATTAAGGAAGACGGGTTGCCGCGGAAACCACACCTGACATGATTAAGTGAATGAACGGCAGGTGTAGAAGTGGTACCAAGAAGTACTTCCTGGAGGGAAAAAAAACAATCAGGACTTAAGCCTTGCTGTCGCTGCAGTGGTGAAAGGACAAATGCGGAGGCTCTGCTGTGAGAGAGCCGGGCTGAATCATAACTAGCGGGTGTGAGACGCTACTAGTTGGGGCGATGTTAGAAGGGCATGCAGCCATGTACAGCATGTGTGAGCAAAGACTGGAACAGCCGCTGTAGTAACCCAGTGAAGGTGTGGAGAATAACGACAATTCCGGAGGGGATTGTGGACAGGAATAGCCTGAGAGGAAAAGAGTGAAAACGTCAGTCTGGAATGCGACTGATACAAGAAACGGAGCTTTATGAGATCATCGAAAGATTTAAAGGGACAGCATCCTGCTAGGGTTTGAGAGCAGAGCTGTCGTGTCCGCTGTATGAGTGAGTTGTGATTTGATTAGTGAGTGTGTGTGGACCAGAGTGGGTTGTGTGGTAGAGGGACCCTCCCTCTAGCAATACATTGGTATCGGGGAAGTGAGTGGGGTCTATCTAGCTGCACCCTCTGGGAGATGGGCACAGTGAGGTGTGTTGGCAGCTGCATGGTGTAACAAGGTGATGTCTGGGCACAATGTGAGGTGCACTGGCAGCTGTAAGTTCATAACCTAAGGGCGTGAGAGGGAGGCGCCAGAAAGGTTGTGAGTGTGGGTGTGTTAGAGAAGGACAGTGTGTTGGGTCTCGACACTGTGTGTAGTGCAAAAGAGACTTGTTGATGTAGGTAGTTTCTGTCTGTGTAACACAACCTGGAGGCGTTAGGAAGAGGATGTCAGGGCTGGAGGCAGATGTGGGAGTCCAAAGCACTGGTTGAGTATGAAACAGTGACCTAATGGAGTAGGAGCAGGAGGCTCCGTGTTGTGGTCTGGAAGCAGGAGGTTCCTAGCAATGAGGACAACAGGATGAACTTGGTGAACTTGAGACTCTGAAGCTAAAGGGCCCAGAAGTAATGGAATATGGAGTTATGTATGCTGTTACCCCCATGAGGGCATCAATGTGATCACTACTCTCGGAGGAGAGTGTGTGTAATAAAGATAAGGAACCTAAAAGAGCTTATAAAGGGGTGTAACAGGGGAAAATGGGAGCCTGACCACGCCCTACTACCACCTGTCAACTACCCCTATGGCACCACACCATGTATAAAGTTTGCACATCATTTTAAACAAACTTTATATTTTTAACTGTTTATGCAAGACAATTAAACTAAGGCTTGTCAAATATGAGAGAGTACTGTTCAGCTTAGACAGCTCTTGTGTTTCTTTCTGTAGTGTGGAACATAATTTTCTTGCTTCAGGGCATGTAGCAGAATGCATACATAAAGATTTACTAACAATAAAAATACAATTGATTATATAAAAGAAAGGTAATTCAGATAATAAAGTCTAAAAATTAATGGGCCATCAACATTTTAATAAAAACTAATGAATAAAATGAGACAATATACCTTGTATACCTTGGGGAAAATCTTATTTAGTATTGCATTTATTATATATTTTCCAAGAAATTGTGGAAAGGCTGCTAAAATGAATTAAACTGGTTACATAAAAGAAACAAACTTTTTTCTTTACTGGGTTTGACGCTTAAAAGTGTGGACTAGACTGTGATCTGTTCCTTTTTCCTTATGGAACATCAGTTCTCTGTATGATTTATTATTATTTCATCATAGTTTTCTCATGTGACCCAAGTCAGTGTATTTTTATGGTAGAACAGAATATATAGTGAAACAAGATAAATTTAAAGGAAAGTGATACATGAAATAATGCAGCTGCTGTATCAGCAAATATTCTCTGAAATCATATTTCTGTTTGCCATACTATAGTATGCATTTTAGTGTATTTGTTTTCATGTTGTGTTTACTATAATATTGTTTATGTAGGGATAAATGCAGTTACATGATAATTATGTCACTCAGGTACTAAGGATTTCTTTTGTTAACATAGATATTCCATTGTTTAAAAATGGTTTTGTTGATGTTTCTTTTTAATACACTTGGTCGTAATAAGTGTACAAATGATCTGACTTCATATTTATTAAACAGATTGCATAAGGATTGCACTTGTCCCAACACATCTAGACAATATGCAGCTTCAGTTTCTCTTCAAATACTATGTAATACAAACTGTAACACAACTTGCTAGGATGAAATCAGTTACAGTATCTTGAAATTGAAAAAAAGTGCACTACTTACTAAATGAGCCATAAAACTGATACACTAAACCACTACAGTTACATTCCGAAATATACAAAAGAAAGCATAAAGAGAACCATATGGTATAACTAGTGTTTTTAAGATGCTTGTTAATTTTTTCCCAGTGTTGTGAATTATAAACACTGCATTACTATTTTAAACAAAAAACAATTATTAAATTGCAGTTTAAGAAATCTGACAGTCAGTGGAAATCATATTTTTCAGACAAAGTCAAAGTTCTGCCATTGATTTACTGCTGTGTTAAGTCTCATAAAAAAGATTTCCCTATCATTGACAGTGATGAAAAGAAACCTGCTTGCCTAACTATATAGTAAGAATAGCTACAAATCTTTGCTGTACGATAAGCAAATCTAATTCACAAAATTAGACAATATATATGGTTAGGAAAAAAAATTGCAACATTGTTCCATCAGCTTTAAAACCAAAAAGCCATGAACTCTTGTAGAAAATTACTGAGTCTCTTCTCTTACTAAACTATAGAATCACATGACTTAAAATGTGCATTCTAAGACAAAATTGTAATGACCTTAAAACAGACACAAATAAAGGCTAATTTGTCTTATTTACCACAGCAGGTGAGTAGACTTATGTGGTTATTTTGGAATGGCATACCTGTGAAAGAAGAGCAGGATGGAGAGCATTGTCTGATCGATGTTGCTGTTGCAGATCCCTTCATTGAGCAGGTAGCAAGGATCCCGTACAACCGATTCCAAGGAGTCCTGACGCATGATGTTATTCAGCTTGTCTGTGTTTAGGTTTTCAAACATGAGCTGGTCCCGTAGCTGCCGGAAGTTAGTGACCGTTGGACTGCCCAGGTTGCTGTTGCCGCGAGCCCCGGCCACTACTTCACACCCGTTGGCCAAGTCCTGACAACAGCTGCAGCAGTCCAGGCCAATGGGTGAACGACAATCTTCATCTGACATGATCATGCACCTGCTGGTCTGTAACTCTTCCAGAGAGAACCAGTCCTCTGTGAGGTCAGAGAATAAAAGAGCTGTTTTGTGAGATTGGTTTTCCTTTAGGATTGCATGTGGCAAAAACAGGTGTTTAACAAGCTGTGAAAATAACAGTTTCTCAAAGAACCATCCTGCCAGGATATCCTTACAACAAAACCATTCTCAGATCTTTCTTTTAATGTCCATTTTTTGTGCATTTGAAAAGCACAAGCACTAGCATTTCAATGAAGAAAATGTTTCACTGGAAAAACAGAAGCTGCTTTACAATTTTTCAGTTTAGCACTTTTTTTAGTACAGAAAACAGAAGAGCTGGGAGGTGGGGTAACCCCTGTGATTGGTAAAAAGGCTCTACCCAGCTCAGATATCTGGCCCTCCTCTTTTATTCTTCTTTTCTTCCTACCTCCACTTGACAACAATGCGAGGTGGGGAAAGAAACATGCAGCCTCCAAGAGCTGTAGCTGTAGCTGCTATTGCTACTACTTTCAGCTTTCAAGAGAGGTTATCCACAGGAGTTTGCTTCAGCAAAACATATAATTCTTGTACACCTGCATGACTAAAGATTAATTCTGAAAAGATTTTAAAAAGACTATAAATACTTAAAATGTATGTCTACAATTTCACTGTGGTGTAAGATAATGTATTGCTAGGGCTTCCTATCCAGATTGTCTATCTCTGAAACAGTGTGGTGCAGAGAAAGGAAGCCGCTCCCTGAGCACTGAGTTATGTTGTGCTCTTATCTCATTGGTTGGCTGTCTCTCTCTGGCATTTGCTCGGCTTACTCCTGTTGTCTGCTATCAGTAGGCTGTGTAGGCCATTTCTCAAATTGCTTTAGTGCTCAGAGCCACTGTTCTGAGGGAATGTAGCAACAATACTTGCCTGATTTTACTGTTTTGTTGCTTTAAAAACAAGATTTTTTCAGCAAGACTAGAATATGCCTTTAGAATGTAAAAGTCTGTGGAATAAAAGAATGTCAACATTTACTTGAGTTTAGAACAATGGTAGAAAGTTAATGGAAACATCATTGTTTTGTTAGAATATTTTCTTGCTTACTGTCTAGTATTAAAATACTTAGGCTCACCATTATAAAAAGGAAGAAGAAGATACCTTTTTAACAAAGAAAATTTAATCAATATTCACTGATGAATAAATATATTCAGCAACTTTATTTCTAAACATATTGGTTCAGGTTTTGTGGCATTGCTTGATATTCTGTATTTGAAAAAAACAATTTGAATTTGCAAAACGCATTTGTTTAACTGGGGTGGCACAGTGGCACAGTGATTAATGGTGCTGGAGGTCTGGGACCAATTCCAGACCTGGGGTGCTATCCATGTATAGTTTTAATGTTCTCAATGCATTCACATTGGTTTTTACAGGGTTCACTGGTTTCTGCCTGTAGTGCAAACACACGCTGGTTTGTTAATTCTTCTTAGAAAATTTGTCCTGGTGTGTTTATCTGTGTCTGCCCTATGATTGACTTGTGATCCTTCTAGGGTGTGTGCTGCCTTGTGTATGTTGCTTACTAGGATAGACTGGATCCACACCCTATCCCCTTTTGCCGGATAAGTGTTTCAATTACTTGGTGAAAGTTAAAAACATCTTCCTTTTTTGTTTTCCTTTCTCGTGTAAAACGTTTTAGTTAGCACTAATAAAACGACAGGTTGTTCTTGATATGTTATATAAATAAATTCCATATATCATTCTTCAGAAAATTAATGTTACAGTCCAATTCAGAAGTTTTATCTGGCCAATGTGATCTTACAAATCATTTTTATGTTTACAAAGTTAAAACTCCATACTTTTCTGCTTGGGTTGAGACCTATTTAAATACTGCAATCTAATCAGTTGGTCCTATAAAGACTTTCTGTGCTAATTGCATTTTTCAAATATAATGGATAATATAATATAATAATTGGATTTGAGCAATCCAAATATAATTTTGTTTTCTTGGCCTAGATGTATATACTTGTAAAAAGGGCTTTAGAGTCTTTTAGAATCCTGTCTTCCTTTACGTATCTATAAAGGACGTACCTCACACCTGAAGAAGGCTTCACAGCCAAAACATTGTGTTTCCTCTCTTCTCTTTTCAGCATTGAATAAACCTATTGCTTGTTCCTATAGAAGTAGATAATAGATAGGAAACCCTATCAGAATAAAAAAATATATAAAAACATAACAATATACTGTATTCTAGAAGATTTTGTTTTTATCATATTTGTAATAAAACAAGAGAAAAGTTCAAATTAAATCAAAGCTTTGACCCACCCAGCTTAATAGCCTAGTATAACAGCTTTCCATGAGTTAACAAGACCTGCTGTCAACACAAATAGAGTCTGTGATATGAATTTGCCAGGTGGATGAAGTTTGGGAGTTCCAAGTCTAGATTTACCCAATCTAAATACCTATTTTATATAGAAAAACTCTCCTGTTAATCCTTTTAGCAAGGAACTAATTTGATTCATTGTGTTCATTTTCTGATTTACATATCTTAAATCAGAATCAACCTTTCATACTTTTGTTTTCATTCAACTGTACTTAAATTTACTCACTGTAAATGAGCATAATTAATGATGTGCAAAGCAAACCTACAATATAAAGGGACCCAAAATATATAGTTTCTTAACAATCTTTTTTATTAAAAAGTTTAATTACCAGGAATATTTGATAATTGGAGGTGTAGTTGATAGATGGTTACTCTGCAGAAGTCTGAATACATTTTGTGAGATCCGTGAAGTTGCCCCCCCCCCCCCCCATAGACAGCACAAATGATGAATCCCACCTCATTTGTTAGTGCTATGTTTGTGCCAATGAAAGTAACTTTCCAGCTGCTTTCGTTCCTGAGATATAACGTCATCTTTTTCAGAGGGTGACCTTGACCAACCCCCCTACAACATCGTAGGGGAACCGGACTGGTCTCAATCCTTAATGCTGCGTTGGTGCCGGTTTGTGCCCTTAAAAGTAGCATTTGTGCTGCTTTAATTCCAAAGATATAGCGCCTCGTTTTTCAGGTGATCGCGTTATCATGCACAGTGACTTTGACCTCCTGTGACTCCATCTACCGAGTTCACGTGCTCTGTTACTGGTACAACATAAACAATTCTGCAATTTTCTCTGTTTGCCCAGGTAGGGGGTGGGGGTTGATTTTGCTTTTAATACCAGTATCTTCTGTGCGTTTGTGTGAACAGGAAAATTAAAATTGTCACCATTATCATACCCTAAACAGAAGAGTTGGGGATGTAGCCTTAAAAGGCAAACAACAGCAAACAACTGCCTGTTCTTACAAAGAGGCTTTAACTAGCACGTCTCAATATTTCGTGGCAGTGTCCTTTTTAAAAATCTGAAGAAGTAATTGGTTTCTCATTGTGTCATTTTTAAATTCATATGTAAATCAAGGGCTGTTTAAAATTTCAACCCATCTTTCGAGCCACGTATTTAAAAAAAGTTAGGATTAGCAACTTTCTGTATCACAAGACCATTGTTTTATATATTTCTTATGTAAAAAAATCATAAATGTGAAACAGAACCAGGATTTTTTAAAGGGGACACTATGCACTAAGTTGACCCAGGTACCTCATAATGGAACTTCAAAACAAAATTGGAAACGGCACAATCCAGCACAAACGTAGCACTAATGAATGAGGTGGCTTTCATCATTTGTGCTGTCTGTAGGAGGGCCACCTTCACGGAGCTCATTTAGCATTATTCTGCTCATTTCACTCAGTCTTTTACCTAGTTTATGAAAAAACATATGATGATCTTCTACCAAAATGTAAGTCATTTTGTTTTAATCACGATAGATTTGTATTTCATAATGCAGAAAGGTGCCTTTTATCTTTGCATAGATTGGAAATGTAATGGATTAGCTACAAAATTACAATGGTGCATATTGGCTAATTATGTGTATAACTCAATGACAAACCATTTTTATTCACTCAAACTAAGCAGTGGTAATAACAATCAAAGTTCTTCAAATAGTAGAAAACACTTTGGGTTGTTTCAAACCATCTGGAATCAGTCCAGGTAAGAGCAACAAAACACATTATGGGGCTTAAGGGAAGGTCCTACAGGCTTAATGAACTGAACCTTTTTAGTCTTCAGCAGAAAAGATAACAAGGGCACCTGATACAAGTATTCAAAATTCTCAAAGGCATTGAGAAGGTAAGCCCAGCAGATTTCTTCAGACTAAACAGTGAAACATGATCCAAAGGGTACAAGTGGAAACTATATGGAAGTACATTGAAAACAGAGAATATAAGGCATTTCTTTACTCAAAGGGTTAAGGAAGTATGATTTTTGGGAGTACCTAGAAACAAATGTATACATTTCTGGATCAATTGACTACTAAATACCAAAATAACTAGATGGGCCAAATGCCTTCCTTTCATATGCTCTTATATTCTTTTTCCTTGGCTTTGAGTAAATTGGTGATGCTCATAACATGCATACATTCGAACTCCCAATTGTGTGTAGCAGTATAAAGGTACACAATAATAATAATTCTCATGTTGTGTTTTTACGTTTTTCATTTTGAAGCCAGATAAAAGTTCTGCAGGTGACAAGCCTGTTTGGTATCTGTGTTAAAAAATACAACAGTCCAGTAGTTAAAGATCAGAAGGCTAATTACAAAGTTGTATGTTGATTAAAAACAAAAAATGTATCCCTGGCACATAATGTGAATAAAAGCAGGTCATCATCATGACCTGTAGAATTTACACTGATTAGCAAGAAAATACTTCCACTTATAAAAAGGACTCCTTTATAGAGATGGTAGGTACTTGCAAGCTAAACAAGGCAGTGTTTAATGGGTATTCCTGCGTTCTTAAAATTCTGAACTCTGAACAATTCTTCAGCAATGCAGTTGCAGCAATATACGATATGACTTGTATTACAAATTTTTGTTTTGCTCTATGTTGACATCTAGTGGAAGAACTGAAACAGCAAAATCCAAGTGAATTTCCACTAGTGCACATGTATTCTAACGTAGGCACATTATAACTATAACAGATATAGTTAAGACATGCCTAAATGTTTTTTTATTTTTGCGTCTTACAAAAGGGCTTCATTATAAGGGCTTCAGACTAACTATACTGCTAATATAGGATTTGGGAAAAGAACAGTATTTCATTACCCAGAGATAGAAGCTCTGAGTGCCTCAATGAGACAGAGATCCTCCTAATTAATGAAGTATCTTTTCAGTATATTTTAACTTTTATCTACCATGCCCTGAACTGCAGATTAACTAATCTAATCAACGATAGCAAGAGTTGCAAACAAGATGCTTCAAACTTCCCTGTGTTGAAATTGTTTTTCAAACTAGACCTGTCTATAAGATCAGTGTTTACAAGAAGTTAGTTAATGTGAGATTTAACTCTTTGTCAGACACATTTGCATGGTAGTGTTAAGCGATTACATTTCTGTCTCCTAACAGTTATTATTTTTTTCTCTTGATTTCTT